ACGCCTTATAGTAGCCTCTAAGAAGTAATCTTTAAAAAATCCACGCCTTATGGTAGCCTCTAAAAAGTAATCTTTAAAAAATCCACGCCTTATGGTAGCCTCTAAAAAGTAATCTTTAAAAAATCCACGCCTTATGGTAGGTTGTTAAAAATATTTTTTCAAAACTCCAACGCCCTACAATAGCCTCTAACGAATATTCCTTTAAACTCCACGCCTTGATAGGCCTTAAAATATATTGTTTAAAAAATCCACGCTTTATGTTAGCCTCTAAACCGGTAAGTATACCCTTCACCACTTTGGGTATACATATGTACTTTGGGACTATTTACCTAAAATCGGACAAAAATATATATGGGAATTTTAAAACACATCGTTCTAGACTTAATTCAAATTTCGTGCAAATCGAAGGATATATAGGAACTTTGGTACACTATTTACCTAAAATCGGACGAAAATAAATATTGAAGCTATATCGAAATCTGAACCGATTTTCACATAATTTAAAACACATCGTTCTAGACTCAATTCAGTATACTATGCGAAATTTCGTGCAAATCGAGGTTATATAGGGACTTTGGTGCACCATATATCTTAAATCGGACGAAAATATATGGGAGCTATATCTAAATCTGAACCGGTTTTTAGGAAACAACCCACATCATTTTAGACTTCATTTAGTGCGCTATGCCAAATTTCATGCAAATCGAAAGATATTTAGGGTCTTTGGTGCACCGTTTATCTTATATCGGACGAAAATATATATGAGAGTTTTAAATCTGAACCGATTTTTCCCAATTTTAATAGAATTCGCCTTTGGGCCAAATGAATGAGCTGTGCCAAATTTCATCCAATTCGAAAAATTAATGCAACCTGTACTTTGTTATCAAAAATACATGAACGGACGGACAGACGGGCGGACATAAATCGACTTAAAAAGTGATTCTATGCATATTCTAAAAAGAAATCTCGTTTCTTATTGCCTGTTACAAACATATGCACAAAGACATAATACCCTTACCACAGGGTGGTGAAGGGTATTAAACCCACGACTTTGAAGGCCTTGAAAAATATTCTTCAAAAAAATCCGCACTTTTTAAAACAATTTAAAAATTTAATTATTGCAATTTATTGACATACTTACTTTTTTTTTAAAAACGATTTTTTTAGTTTTCGGTTTTATTTTTTTTTTGTTAAGCTGATTTTTCACTGACGAATTATTTATTGTTGTCACCTTTAGACACTGTTCTTGTCATTCTACGAAACTAAAAGACATTAAGTGAAATGTTGCACATGTCATTGTGGTATGTATGTATGCATTAATGTATATGTATGTTGGTTTTTGTGGAGAGTACCCTACCGCATTACATGCAGGGTATATTTGATATTAATTCTCTTAATTCTTTAATATTTATACCGAAGTCGATGGATGTCGATATTCTTAAAAAAATTGGCCAATGGCCTTTTTATCCTCCTTTTTTATTTTTCTCCTTAGATTTTATATTCACGCAACTTTTTCCGATACTTGTTGTATAGCTTAAAACTTAGGCGATGCCGTCGACTTATTGTGTAAATGATTAACACAATTGTTGTCAAACAATTTTTAATATTTATTTCGATATTCTTTCCTTGATCATCACATCAGAGAATAACTTATTTTCATTAGATTTTGTACTTAATATTTGTTTATTACATAAAAAAATTAAATTCAAACTTTGATAAGAGATTAAAACAAATATTTATAATTTTTTTTTATATCCAATTAAATAACATTGGCACACTTTCTTGATTTGAAAAAATTTTTGGTCGCTGAACTTGTTACAATTTATTTCTATTCACAATTACTTATTACCGTCTTAATCAATTAATGACAATGGCACCACATTGTTTTCATTTTCATAATACATTTTTTTTTTTCAATTTTAAATTTTCCATCCCATTTCCGATTTAAACGTCACTTTAGATAAATAAACGCGCCAAAGAAACAAAAAACAACACAGAAGAAAACACCTCAAGATTACTTTATTTACTTATGATTTACGCAAAGGCAAAGGCGAACTTGTTGCAATTGTTTTGCTCCGCATTGATGCCGGTTGACGGACGAGATTGTTGTTTTTTTTTTGTTCACAACAATAAACGCAATCAGCGTATCCGAACCGCACACAACCGAGCCCCGTGATGGACGACACTAGAATGCTTCTAGTGGGGAAAAACTATTGTCACGAAAGAAAAAGAGAAAACCAAACAAACGGACGGACAGACAGACACAACAATCGGAAAGTAACATACCGGCATACCCAAACCCGACGAAATGGTTGAGTTCGTCCAAAAGCTTTTGCATAAACGATGTAAACAAAGTGCAAGCTTTTTATGTGGGGATGCCACATAGACTTTTTGAAAAAATTTAGTCAATATTGTAATCATTAAACATTTATTCCAGGGCTACAAAGGCATGGATTTTTTAAAGAATTATTTTTCAAGGGCCAGACAAGGTGTGCATTTTTCAAAGCATATTTTTCATGGCCCATTAAAGCGTGGATTTTTAAAAGAATATCTTTTCAAGGCCCATAAAGGCGTGGATTTTTAAAAGAATATCTTTTCAAGGCCCATACAAGGCGTGGATTTGTTAAAGAATATTTTTTCAAGGCCCATACAAGGCGTGGATTTGTTAAAGAATATTTTTTCAAGGCCCATACAAGGCGTGGATTTGTTAAAGAATATTTTTTCAAGGCCCATACAAGGCGTGGATTTGTTAAAGAATATTTTTTCAAGGCCCATACAAGGCGTGGATTTTTTAAAGAATATTTTTTCAAGGCCCATACAAGGCGTGGATTTGTTAAAGAATATTTTTTCAAGGCCCATACAAGGCGTGGATTTGTTAAAGAATATTTTTTCAAGGCCCATACAAGGCGTGGATTTGTTAAAGAATATTTTTTCAAGGCCCATACAAGGCGTGGATTTGTTAAAGAATATTTTTTCAAGGCCCAAAGGTGCACCAATGTCCCTATATATCTTTCGATTTGCACGAAATTTGGCAGAGCGTAATTAATTAGGTCTAGAATGCTGTGTGTTAAGTTTCTCGAAAATCGGTACAGATTTAGATATGGCTCCCATACATATTTTCGACCGATTTAATGTAAATGGTGTACCAAAGTCCCTATATATCCTTCGATTTGCACGCACTTTGGCACAGCGTACGGAATTAAGTTTAGAGTGATTTGTGCTTAGATTCCTGAAAATCGGTTCAGATTTAGATATAGTCCACATATATAGTTTCGTCCGATTTTATGTAAATGGCGCACCAAAGTCCCTATATATCCTTGGATTTGCACGAAATTTGGCACAGCGTACTGAATTAAATCTAGAATAATGTGTGTTAAGTTTCGTGACAATCAGTTCAGATTTAGATATAGCTCCCATATATAGTTTCGTCCGATCTTCTGTAAATGGTGTACCAAAGTCCTTATATATCTTTCGAAATTTGGCACAGCGTACGGAATTAAGTCTAGAGTGATGTGTGCTAAGTTTCGTGAAAATGAGTTCAGATTTAGATATAGCTCTCATATATAGTTTCGTCCGATTTTATGCAAATGGTGCAACAAAGTCCCTATATATCTTTCGATTTGCACGCATTTTGATATAGCGTACTGAATTGAGCCTAGAATGCTGTGTGTTTAGTTTTGTGAAAATCGGTTCAGATTTAGATATAGCTCCCATATATATTTGCCTTCGATTTTATGTAAAGTGTGCACTAAAGACCCGTTCGTTGGAGTTTAGGTAAATGTTGCACCGGTTTACACGAAACTTATCAATGGTCACACCCAAAGTGATGAAGGGTATCATAAAGTCGGCCCTGTTCGACTTTACTACTTTCCTTACTGGTTTAAAAAAAAATTTTTCAAACGCCGGAATTTAAAAAAAAATATTTTTCAAACGCCGAAATGTTTTTAAAAACATAGATTTTTTTAAAAAAATATTTTTCGAAGGCATGGATTTTTTAAAAAATATTTTTAAAAGCCCACTAAGGCGTGAATTTTTTATGGACATTTTTTAGGAAAGGGGGTAGATTTGTCAAAGTTTAAAAAGGGCGTGGATTTTTAAGTATGTTTGTAAGGTTCAGCAGTAATATTTTTAAATAATAATTTTCAATTTAAGGCTACATCTTTTGCAACCATCTTATTTTTCCCTTTGTGGAACTTAAGAGCTAACATGTCAACTAAAGCTCTCGCATAATCATCGCCGATTTTATTCTCTGCTTAAAAATCCACTTTTCCCGCAATTGACGAGAAACTTTTGTGGAATTAAAAAAATATAAGAGATGTGGATTTACTGAAAAGCTGTTTCGTTTACAAAAGTGGCGGATAATTGAGGTGGAACATATTCAATGTTTTTCATTTGCCTTTGTGGAACAGAATTGCTTTATGAAAATTATTCTAAATATGTTCATAAATAAGAGCTTTAATACAACTTGTGGCGTATGAGTAATTTTTGTTACTAATTCATACCAAAGATGGCGCTATTTTTGCGAATTGGAATTACAATTTTTCGAAGAATGTTATCTGATGGAACTTTTGAGGTTACAATATGTGAACTTTATAGAAATTGGCTGACAATTATAAGCTTATAGTTGCAGAGTTGTATATCAAAATCATAATAAAGCTCTTCTCTACACCTAAAGCTGTTATTTAGCCATGTAGAGTGGATATTGGAATAACGATATTTTCCTAATCGAAAAAAGAGATCCACGCCTTATAGGGCAATGAAAAAAAAAATATTTAAAAAATCCACGCCTATTCCAGTCCACTCCTTATTGAGCCTAGAAAAAATATTCTTAAAAAAAAATTTATTATAATAAAACCATTCTTATTTATTACTATTTTTACTAAAACTATTTATTTTTATTTTTTCCATATTCTGCATTTTCTCCCTCCTCCATGTCTGCTCTTCGTTGGGCATTGAAATATTCTTTCAAAATCCGGTATGTGTTTAATTGTTTCCTGTACCCTCACATTATCCATGTCATGAGCATGTGTGGGAGGCAAGGAACCACAAAAGAATTGGGCAAAATTTATAAAAAATAATTGTTGTTGCGAAAATTTCTTCGTTCCAGTTTCCTTATTTCCGATTTTCGGTGAATAAATATCCCAAATCAATTGCAGACCATTAACATCGGCCATGCGTTCATTGAGTGATATGGTGTCAGAACTCTCCGTGAGGCAATCCAGACTGTCGATGAAAGAGGGATTTAGGGCAATCTCTTGACCCAAGGGGTTACGATGGCCATTGTGATCGAATTGTAGGCCTAAAGGATCGAAGGCATGCGACAATTCATGGGCCATAATCCAGCCGGTAATGGAATATTGTAGTAATGGGTGTTGTCGATGATGATAGAAGGGCAGCTGTAGAAAGACCATAGGTATGAGAAGCTCATTGCGTGGATGATTAAAATACGGAGCATTACGTAGAGTGGCAATGTCATCGTAGACATAATAGGTGTCAGGTTCCAGGGTAGATATGCCCGTTTGGAATACTGCTTTGTGTTGCTGTTGGAAACGAAATTGAAGCAGCTGTAAATGATTGGCGTAAAAATTTCTCTCCGAGAGATCCAAGTCGGAATAATAGTCATTGAGATCGGGTATAATGGAGGGTAGATTTCCAATTTTTAGCTGAATTGCAGATAATTTTCTTTGCAGATATTTTATCTCTTCGGCAGAAAGTTGAAATTTATTCTCCTGCAGATAGAGAGAGAATTGCTGCTTCAATTGTTTTAAAATTCCGCTAAGGACCTTTTCATCCTTTTGCCGATTTTTGTAAAGGAAATGGGTATACAAATAATTCACACCCAGAGGGAACATGACATTGGTGTGCAGGAGGCAATTTCTGGAATTTATTAACGGCTTTATTTGATTCAAGTGTTGCAGGAAATTCGCCAGGATATACCAACCAATTGTGTGGGGATCCTGTTGTTTAAGCAAATTTTGTAAATCTTGAAAATACTCTAAATTTTCAGGTACTTCTAGAAATAGGCTTTTGGGTTCGAGAGGCCTTCCGACTAGTTTTTCAAAATACAACTGCCAATTTAAGGACCTCTCCATTTTCTTCAGTTGCTGCAACGTCATAGATTGCATTTCGTCGGTGAATCCTTCATAATTTCTATAGAGTTGGACCAGTTCCCTCTGCAAGCCATAAACCGCCTCCGTTAATTTCCACAATTTCTGCTTCGAAAATATTGTGTTGAATTCAAATTCTTCAAACAGTTCATAAATTTGATATTTATTCGAAAATTGCCTCTCCGCCTTAGGAATTTTCAGCTCCACCACCTGGTGGCTGGAATTAGTGGCTGCAAAATTTGCGGATTCTTTAAAAAACAAACCATTCAAACCCAATGTTCTCAAATAGGCCAAGGATTTCAGCCACTCAAAATCCGTCTCCATCACTTCATTGCCACTTGAAAAAAATTCTCTCCATTCATCGCCCAAAATCTTTTCCATTCTGAGCTCCTTTAAATACTTGGACATTTTCAGAAAGTAATCACCACTGCCACGACACGACTCATAATATTGCCATATTTTTGTGATCATTCGCGAAACATCGGGAAATTCTTCCTTCGATATTTCCAATGCCTCCACAAGATCTATCAGCTGATCGGCATAGAAATTTGTCATAGCTCCAATTGTATCCTGATGATCGTAATAGGGACCCTCAGACCATGATCCACATGCGTAGTCCCAAAAATCCTCACATGGATCGGTATTATTGTACATATGCTCCTCTATCACCATCAGTGTTTCCTGATTTACATTTTCTACACATGCCGCGAATTCGGCACATTTTATTAATGAAACCCGATCAGCTTGTCCGACAGCCAACGCCAACAACCACAAAATACCGCACAATTCTTTTTTCCACAATTTCGATTTCATTGCTTATTTGTTAGTCAAATTTTGTTGTTCTAACACCAAGCCAGGTTGAAAGTCGACTGAAATTAATATCAGAGAATGCAGAATTTCTAGTTCAAGATTTTTTTTGGCAACAGGGTTGCCATGTTTTAAGAATTACAATTATGACCAACATTGGATTTTTATTTATAACGTGGTATCTTAAAAATCTAAACCTCTTAAAGGCCTTGAAAAAATATTTATCAAAAATCCACACCTAACCTAAGTCTTGGAAAAAAATTTAAGAACCCAAGCCTTAACGTAGGCCTTGAAAAAAAATTAAAAATTCACGCCTTAATTTTTTTTAATTAACGCCTACCCCAAGCCGTTTTTTGTATCGGCCTTGAAAAAATATTTTTTTGAATGGGTATTTTTTTTATGGGCCATAAAAATTTTTTTTGAATGGGTATTTTTTTGTATGGGCCTTGAAAAATATTCTTTATCATATCCACGCCTCTTTTAGGTCTTGAAAAAATATTTTTTATCATATCCACGCCTCTTTTAGGTCTTGAAAAAATATTCTTTATCATAGCCACGCCTCTTTTAGGTCTTGAACAAATTCTCTTTACAGATCCACGCCTTGTATAGGCCTTGAAAAAAAAATCTTTAACAAATCCACGCCTTGTATGGGCCTTGAAAAAATATTCTTTAACAAATCCACGCCTTGTGTGGGCCTTGAAAAAATATTCTTTAACAAATCCACGCCTTGTGTGGGCCTTGAAAAAATATTCTTTAAAAATCCACGCCTTGTATGGGCCTTGAAAAAATATTCTTTAAAAAATCCACGCCTTATATGGGCCTTGAAAAAATATTCTTTAAAAAATCCACGCCTCTTTTAGGTCTTGAAAAAATATTCTTTATCATATCCACGCCTCTTTTAGGTCTTGAAAAAATATTCTTTATCATATCCACGCCTCTTTTAGGTCTTGAAAAATATTCCTTATCATATCCACGCCTCTTTTAGGTCTTGAAAAAATATTATTTAAAAATCCAAGCCTTGTATGGGCCTTGAAAAGATATTCTTTAACAAATCCACGCCTTGTATGGGCCTTGAAAAAATATTCTTTAAAAAATCCACGCCTTGTATGGGCCTTGAAAAAATAATCTTTAAAAAATCCACGTCTTGTATGGGCCTTCAAAAAATATTCTTTAACAAATCCACGCCTTGTATGGGCCTTGAAAAAATATTCTTTAACAAATCCACGCCACTTTTAGGTCTTGAAATATATTCTTTATCATATCCACGCCTCTTTTAGGTCTTGAAAAAATATTCTTTAAAAAATCCACGTCTTGTATGGGCCTTCAAAAAATATTCTTTAACAAATCCACGCCTTGTATGGGCCTTGAAAAAATATTCTTTAACAAATCCACGCCTTATTAGAGGCCTTGAAAAGATATTCTTTAAAAAATCCACGTCTTGTATGGGCCTTCAAAAAATATTCTTTAACAAATCCACGCCCGTTATGGGCCTTGAAAAAATATTCGTTTTAAAAAATCTACGCCTGTTTTAGGCCTTGAAAAGATATTCTTTAAAAAATCCACGTCTTGTATGGGCCTTCAAAAAATATTCTTTAACAAATCCACGCCTTATTAGAGGCCTTGAAAAGATATTCTTTAAAAAATCCACGTCTTGTATGGGCCTTCAAAAAATATTCTTTAACAAATCCACGCCTTGTATGGGCCTTGAAAAAATATTCTTTAACAAATCCACGCCTTGTATGGGCCTTGAAAAAATATTCTTTAACAAATCCACGCCTTATTAGAGGCCTTGAAAAGATATTCTTTAACAAATCCACGCCTTGTATGGGCCTTGAAAAAATATTCTTTAACAAATCCACGCCTTGTATGGGCCTTGAAAAAATATTCTTTAAAAAATCCACGCCTTGTATGGGCCTTGAAAAAATATTCTTTAAAAAATCCACGCCTTGTATGGGCCTTGAAAAAATATTCTTTAAAAAATCCACGCCTTGTATGGGCCTTGAAAAAATATCCTTTAAAAAATCCATGCCTTGTATGGGCCTTGAAAAAATATTCTTTAAAAAATCCACGCCTTGTGTGGGCCTTGAAAAAATATCCTTTAAAAAAACCACGCCTTGTATGGGCCTTGAAAAAATATTCTTTAAAAAATCCACGCCTTGTATGGGCCTTGAAAAAATATTCTTTAAAAAATCCACGCCTTGTATGGGCCTTGAAAAATATTCTTTAACAAATCCACGCCTTGTATGGGCCTTGAAAAAATATTCTTTAACAAATCCACGCCTTGTATGGGCCTTGAAAAAGAGGCCCTGAAAAACAATATTCCTTCAAAAATCGCAAAACGGCAACCCTGCCAGCCACTTGACACTTTAAATCTCTAATAATATTCCATCAAATTAAAAACAAAAAAAAAAACAAAATATTGAAAATAAATAAATTTGCAATTCATGCCTCTAAAATTCGTCTATGCACAAAACAAGATCATCTCGAAGGTGGCTAATGAAACAAGTTTTTTGTTTTATTTCTTTTAACTATAATGACGTCACATTAGGTCTTGATCTTGTTCTTCTTCAGTTTATCGTTGACAACAGTTATTTAAATTTAAATTTGTAATTAATTGATTTTGTATATTGTTTATAAATGGGGAAGCCTACAAAGCAGACAGGTTTTAGATGGGGAACAGGTGTCGATGCTAACGATGGGGTGTTGAGAGATGATAGATCATCGATGAGTACTAATGGGGGAATTAATTTAGTCATTTATTTTGACATTTGGTAAAATGTTTGTTTTGTTTGTGTGTGTGACTGAAAAAATTCCATTGATAAATTTTAAATGTGACAGCTGAACGATACTACGAAGTTAATAATAGTAGTGATACTGTTAGTGGAGAGGGTGGGACAAACGATAGGTACATTGGTAACTTCTCAAATAATAAGAAATACAAATATTCTTTAAAAATCATTTTCTTATGTAGGTCTATGAAAAATATTATTTATAAAATTGAAACCTTATAAAATTCAAACCTTATGCAGGTCCATGCAGGTCAGAAAATATAGGGTCAACAAATATTCTTTAAAAAATCCACGCCTTATGGTAGCCTCTAAAAAATAATCTTTAAAAAATCCACGCCTTATGGTAGCCTCTAAAAAGTAATCTTTAAAAAATCCACGGCTTATGGTAGCCTCTAAAAAGTAATCTTTAAAAAATCCACGCCTTATGGTAGCCTCTAAAAAGTAATCTTTAAAAAATCCACGGCTTATGGTAGCCTCTAAAAAGTAATCTTTAAAAAATCCACGCCTTATGGTAGCCTCTAAAAAGTAATCTTTAAAAAATCCACGCCTCTATAAAATATTCTTTAAATAATCCACGCCTTATGGTAGCCTCTATAAAATATTCTTTAAAAAATCCACGCCTTATGGTAGCCTCTATAAAATATTCTTTAAAAAATCCCCGCCTTATGGTAGCCTCTAAAAACGAATCTTTAAAAAATCCACGCCTTATGGTAGCCTCTAAAAACGAATCTTTAAAAAATCCACGCCTTATGGTAGCCTCTAAAAACGAATCTTTAAAAAATCCACGCCTTGTGGTAGCCTCTAAAACGTAATCTTTAAAAAATCCACGCCTTATGGTAGCCTCTAAAAAGGAATCTTTAAAAAATCCACGCCTTCTGGTAGCCTCTAAAAACGAATCTTTAAAAAATCCACGAATCTTTAAAAAATCCACGCCTTATGGTAGCCTCTAAAAAGGAATCTTTAAAAAATCCACGCCTTCTGGTAGCCTCTAAAAACGAATCTTTAAAAAATCCACGAATCTTTAAAAAATCCACGCCTTATGGTGGACTCTAAAATGTAATCTTTAAAAAATCCCCGCCTTAGGGTAGCCTTTAAAAACTAATCTTTAAAAAATCCACGCCTTATGGTAGCCTCTAAAAAGTAATCTTTAAAAAATCCACGCCTTATGGTAGCCTCCGAAAAATATTCTTTAAAAAAATCCACGCCTTTTGTTAGCCTCTTCTCTGAAGAATAAACAGAAGTTCTCCTTCAACTTTTAAATTGTCCTGCCAGATATATGTGTGTAAATTAATTCGACATATTCCATTTAAATTTAGTTAAGAACTTAATGTACCAAAAATATCTGTCCAAAAGAAAATACATATTTCAATTTCATTTATTCCAAAATGAAAATTGAAATAAATTCTTTATTGTAAAATCAATATTCGATTTCAATGCAAACAAATTATCCTCTATCCTTATGCAGCAGCTGCATCGAAATCACTCACACATACACTCGCACACATTTACATTCTAAATTTTCCTTTCAATGGCAAACCACATGGCAATGAAATGAAAACTTATTTTCATTTCGGTATGCAATTCGTCCGAACGCCTGTCTGTCTGTCCATATGTGTGAATTAATGTCTTTATTCAGAATGGGATCGATAGGTAGATAGATGAATGTGTTTTCATTACAAAATTCATTTGAATTCTGTAGCCATACCAACAAAGCCACCCATTAATATATCCTTGGTGTTCGATGGTTGTGCTTGTGTTTTTTCTATGTTTTATTTTTTTTTGCTTAATTCAGTGGAATTGTAGAGACTGAACTTCGATTAGCTTTATTGAGCGGAAATGCAATTTAACGTTACATGATGTGTGGCTTTTCAACATTTTTGCTCGACAATAAATTTCAAGGCAAAGCAAAAAAAGGATGTTTAAGGATTTTATTATATGGCTGGAATAGAGAGAGACAAAAGGCGTGGATTTTTTAAAGAATATTTTTTCAAGGTCACTAAAAAAGGCGTGGATTTTTTAAAGAATATTTCCTCAAGGCCTGGTATAAGCACGGAGTTTTTAAAGAATATTTTCTTAAGGCCTGGTAGAGGCGTGGATTTTTTAAAGAATTTTTGTCAAGGCCTATATGAGGCGTGGATTTTTTGAGGGATGTTTTTTCAAGACCTAAACCAGGTGTGGATTTTTTAAAGAATATTTTTTCAAGGCCCATAACAGGCG